AATGTGGCTACACTGCAGTTCTGGAGAAGACATTTGGATTTCACAAGAGTTTATGTGAAGTTATCTTCGCATAAAATAGGATGAACTGCAGTCCAAATATACTCAGCTTTATACAAGAGGTACAAGAGCAGTTTTTCATACTCTGTTCCACTCTGCCACTTGGCAGCTTGGGTGTGAACCAGAATTAAGGACTGTACAAAAACTAGACAAGAACGTTCTTTTCTCATTCTAGGTACGACAGGACAACGTACGATTCAGCAAGCAGAGAACTGATGTGAGCAGACAAACAACTGGAAAGAAAAAAGAGTTGAGAAGTGCTCTATGACAGAAAACAGTCATATGAAAATGGTTAAGGAGAAGAATCACGGGTGAAAGAGGATGTGAGTTTATTCTAGAGATGGGATCACAAGGCGAACTGGAGGAACTAGAGGAGAAGAGAAGGAAAAACTCCTATGCTTGTGGCTAAGTATGAGAAACTGCATATATGAATACACATAACCACATGCAGCAAGCAATTATGAACAAGGGTATTCAGACTCTACAAATCTTATCTCTAGGGCAACAGAAATAATCAGTCATGATAGAGATTAGCAAGGTTTCACAAAGGTATACCTAGAAGCAGAATCTAAAATTGAGTAAGCCGCTAATGATGTGCAATCTGGAAGTATTTTCTTACTTCAAGTCCCTAAAAAACATGGAAAATAGTCAATTGTACATTCTGAAAAGTGGTTTAAAACTGTTAGATGCAATAGCTGTTTTCAGCCTTGGACCTTTCCAGAGAGTGTTCTTTGCCATGACTTATTATCAAAGGAAATAAAACAGCTTCTGAAAACTGGAAATGCATGTAGAATACCATACAATAGAAATCTTAAACACTGGAAAAGAGCAGTAAACTAGAAGTTGAAAATTACTCTGAGAAATTCAAAAATCAATCAGAAAATATTACAGAAATATAAATTTTGTTAATGAATCCCATCTGCCCCAAATGGCTTATATAAAGTATTAATTACATCCATATAGAAATTACAACAAATTGCAGTGGCTATAGCCACTTGGCTCAGAATTTAGGAACTGAAAGAGCAATAATAATAACAATAAAAATAATATAATGTTGCAATGGCAACATGAAAGTAAGTCGAAATTTTTAAACATCTACGACAACCCAGCAGCATACTTTGAATAATAAACAATAATACAGCAGAAGAAATGAATTAACACAGTAAAACACTATAAGCCCTCTGAAAGTAAAGTCATGCCCTTCACCAAGGAAATGATAAAACTGGCCGCAAACAGTCACATAGACAGTTGATGCCAATTCCCCAGGAACACCTCATAAATAAACCATGTGCATTGTCTCCCAAATTCTATCAGAGTATCAGATTCTTTCTTCCTACTGGGAAACTGAACATTATATGACTGCTATCATGGATTACATGTTGGAGTAACTCCATGTTGGAGTACAACAACTACACAAGACAGAACTTTAAAGAATGACATCCAGTTGATAACCTTGATGATAGCCTGTTTCATATTTGTCTTTACAGTGCTTATTTTATCAAAAGAAACATTAACTCTGAGGTCTAACTCCTCCTGGCCTTTGGTGTTTTCTGTTTTTCATTTGACTTTCAGACTTTCTGTCAGCATTTTTTCCTAACAAGTACATGTCTCTACTGTTCAGCAGTAACACACTCAAGCTAAGTTACCATAATTTTTTTTTTTTTAATAGACCAGGCTGGCTTTCATTACTGTCATACTGTGCAGAGAAAAATAGTTTATTCTGAAAACGAAGAAAATTAGCCTACCTGCAGCATTTTAAAATTGACAGTTACCTAGGCAGTACGCATGAATTGGCTCCCTCTTAGGGAGGGTAAGCCAGCTCTCCCTGCGAAGATAACGGACACCTAGTTTCTGCGTTCAGCCTTTCAAGACTATGAGCGAAGAGGAGGTTAGGAGTAGCCTGTCAGCTTCTCACTCTGAGCACCGAATTATTAATTTACACAAAATACCACTAAAATTTACACAAAATACCCTTAAAACAACCAAAAGCAGCATTCTCAAAGTTTATAAGGAAACTTCATACTTCAGTAGACCATCAAAGCCAACACATGCTATTTCAACATAACTTGATTTAATTTTCTTTCTCATGAGTTTGTTTGCCGCTCAGAGACACCTGGCGAGGTTTGTATCTGTTGTCTTTTTGGTTCATCCTACCCCTTGTGCCAGAGATTCAGCAGAATTGTTTGGAGACCTCACAAAACACTTGCAAGACAGCAAGCCAATGACTTCAACAAAGGATTAAAACTTCACTGAAAGATCAGGTAGACAGACAAGCCAAGAAGAAAAGGAAACAATTATTAGCCATATTTATTTTTGAAGACCGGAAAGGGAACATAGAATACTACCAACAAATAAATTTTTTTTCAGTGTAAATATGGAAATATCTCTTCAAATGTGTGCCACTGTGAAAGTCTCTTGCGTTTTAACTCCCTCCACTTCCATTTGCTACTGCAGCATATCCTATATTAGAAAACAAGCAAGATCTTTTTCTAGAGTCTACTGCAGGACAATATTAGACACAGAACTAAGGCCTAAAAGCATAAATCCAGTATCTAGATTTCACACAGATCTAAAATTTGTAGAGGAAATAGGCATTACTTGGAGTATATTTTTCTCCAAAGAACTCGTATCTGAGCCTCACAGAAATACATTTATAATGGTATCTCATAGCAGATTCTTAGCTCACTATTGCTCTGAGAGGCCCTGGTAGTTGAACAGGCATAGTCCCATGCAGGGATATGCCTGCCTCTCATTTTCTTTAAAGGGGCACAAGCAGAAACTATCATAATTTTTATACCAATGTTATCAGTTAGCCCTTTTCCAGCAGGGATGTCAAATAAAGCATTCCACCCCCCCCACCCCCC